TTTTTTTGAGAGGGCATCTCTCATATTTATTGATCAAATGGTTGTTAACAACAATAAAATTCTGTATAGGGGACTCAATGCACAATCATTAATCAACCCAAGCCTAATTCTCAACAGTCTCACAGAAGCTTTCAGTTTTGATCATGCATCATGAACTATAAACAAGTCAGATATGATTATTCGTTTGATTTTTATACTTGATTTATATGTGAATCCCACATTTCTCCCTTATTATTATTTATTTTTAAATAAAATGCTGAAGTGGTAGGTAGATGCAAGATAAAGGTAGAAAACATAATTTAGTGCTGTAGGAGGGCAACTGTAGATGATCAGGTGTGTGCCTATAGACTAAGTATTAATCCAAGCTAGACAAGGGCAACAAAACATCCACGGATGCAGATTTCTCTCAAAACGGGGGGTGAGGTTCTAAGCCTCACCTCTGTTGATCCCCAATTTCTCACCTGATGGCCCCCCTGCGACTGTGCCTGTCTTAGGTTGTTCCTCCCTTGAGGAATCTTACACGTCTCTGGCTAACCAGTCATCTTCCGGGGACATACAGGGAAATGTAAAGTTGGTAAGTGAGAGAGATAGCTTTTTTTTCTTTTTATGTACTATAAAGGTATGTGAAAACATGCCCAAAAGTAGAGAGAAGAGTATTATGAACTCTTCTTTAGCTGTCACCCAGTTTCAGAATTACAAAAACAGGGCCAATCTCATTTTTCTGTCTTTTGTTGTTAGCATCACAACTGTATTGAATATCTACTGTAGGCCAAGCACTATTCTAAGCCTTGAGGCTACAGCTGTGACAGACAGGTCAGGTACCTCCCTTCTAACCTTTATGTTCTACAGCACAAAGACAAAATGAGCAAATAAACCAGTGAATATGTATTGGAGGTGAGGACAAATGCCATGGAGGAAAAGCCAGTGTGGAGAATGGGGAGTGCAGTGGGGGGTGATTAGGGAAGGCCTCTCCAGTGGGGTGAGTTTTGGGCCGAGATCCAAAGTGCAGGACTGAGCCACAGGGTTCCCTGGGTGAGCAGTCCAAGCAGGGACAGTGAACATGGGCCGGGCAGTGGGAACCTGGTTGGCAGAGCTGGCGAGCAGCAAGGAAGCCTCTGCGGCTGGACTGGGGCCAGTAAAGGGACACTGGAAGAGGCACAGTGTGGGATCGCAGCCTTACAGGGCTCGTCACGGCCACTGTAAGGACTGCAAATGGGAAGCCTGTTGACTCCTGTGATTGGAGGGTTTTGAACAGAGATGTGTGGTGATCTGACTTTTAACAGAATAACCATGGCTACTAGGTTGAAAATGGATGGTATGGGCTCAAGAACAGAGACAGGGAGACTGAGGAGGCAGCCTTGCAGCTGGTGAGGGCTGGCTTGGGGCGGGGGGCAGGTCGGGCAGTGGAGGGGCTGAGAGAGGCTAGCAGCTGGATGTGCTTGTAAGGTAAAGCAGCAGACAGGCTCTTAAACTAATCATGGTGAAATTTATTATCATTTCCCCTGAAATAATTTATTTGAATTGGCATAACTCTGAGAAATGAGTTATTGTCTGGATTCCAGAGTCAAGTACCATGTGACAAGTATTTGAGTCTTACGAGGAATGTAGGGGATAGAGTAGATTGGGCCCTGCCTTCTGAGAACTTGGAATCTGGTTTGGGAGTGTGCCACTGGGATGCCCCCACTTACACTCATCTACCTGTGAGATACAGACGGGCTTAGAGACTAGGCCAAGCATGTGGCCGTCTGTGCCCTGGGCCCGGCTCTGTGTGGAAATTACTTTGAAGGCCAGGTTTGGGCTGGGTTTTCATTCAGGTCTTCTGGGACATATGGCAACCGTGAATGTTTATTACTTGTTTTTATTTGGATATACTGTCAGATTTAGTTTGCTGGGCTAACTGCATACAAAGGAAGTAATTTTAGAAGCAAATAAACCCTAGTACTGGTGACACTGGGTGACAGTTTGTTTTACCTGGGCCTTTAACCCACGGCAGGGCCTGGGACAGGGCTGGGGGCCATGCAGAGAGTGAATGTTGGCCAGTAACAAACTTTCCGAATCTCTGTGGACTTTGGTGATGGTGATGGGGCCACAGTGAATTATTTGCCTTATATGCTGTTTGCAAAGCTGGAAAAAAAAAAGTAGGTAGTTTCTGGTCTTTTTGCCAGTAGCATAAATAAATAAAACCTTGAAACATTCTTGGACTTATTAATGAAGGCCATCACTTGATTTAATGCTCAGAAGTTGGTTGTTTGGACAAGAAGTGACTTCTGTCAGAAATAAAGGTAATACAAGTCCGAGTGTCTAGTAAAAAACAACCGTTAAATATATACTATAAAGGCTGGTGGAGGGTAGTGGCTGGGAAGGTAGGCTATCAAATAAAGTACCTGGGTTCAAATGCCAGCTTTAAACAGTTTGCCAGCAGTGTAGACCTGGGCAAGTTGCCTGACTGTTGTGCCCTAATTTCATCATAATTTGTGTGAGGATTAAATAAATTAATACATGCAAGGCCCTATAACAGCACTTTTGAAAACCTACTACTTGTTATTAAAAAATTATTCAGAATTAACAGTCTTCTTTGCTGATAACTGTCTATTGGTAGAAAGCATGAGTAATAATAAAAATAACATTTATTTATCTAATAAAAATCCTTAATATATTTTTGGGCCCTATGAAGACAGAAAGATAAATAAGGCCTGTGGTATAGTTTAAAGGAAGCAATTTACTGTTTCACAGCATACTTAGCTGATATTTTCTTGTTTCAATACTCAGTTTTCAGCTGTTTTGAGCTCTGGTTAGCAGAAAAGCCTTGATTGGTCTTGTTTTGTAGATAAAGAATTAAAACTCAGCCTTAAGTTGATGTCTCAGGCCACTCAGCAGAGACTGGGCTTAGCCTTAAATTCTTTCCATCCTCCTTCCAGTTTCTAAATGTCTGTATCAAACTTGGGTGCTCATGTTTTTATCCTGTATTGTGGAAGCTGCCAAGAGCTAGTTCACGGTGTTCATCTTAAAGAGAAAAGTTTTAGCTTCTGGAGATTGCCTTAATAAGACCACTGACATTTTTCTCTTGAAATCAAATGTATTGAGGTATAATTTACATGCAGTAAGATGCACCATTGTAAAGTGTACAGTTCAACAAGTGTGGACAGATATATCCATCTGTGTAACTCCCACTATAATCACAGCATTTCCATCACGCAAAGCTTCCTCCTCTTCCCTTGCAGTCTTTGATTTCTGTTACTATTTTTGCCTTTTTAAAAAACTGCCATAAATGAAATCATGTGTATGTGCCCTTAGTGTCTGGATTCTGTTGTCCAGCATAATATCTATGTTGTTGCATGAGTCAGTGGTTCATTCTTTTTCATTGCTAAGTAGTTTTCCATTGATGACTACACCAAGTTGTTGATGGATCTCTGAGTTGTTTTCAGTTTGTAGCTGTTTTTAATAAAGCTACAGTGAGCATTCTTTTACAAATCTTTGTGAGAACAGTTATTTCATTCACAGAGAGTGTCTTTGGTGTTGAATCTAAAAGGCCTCACCATATCCAAGATCATGTAGGTTTTTTCCTATGTTATCTTCTAGGACTTTTACAATTTTGCATTTTACATTTAGGTCTATGATCCATTAGAGTTAATTTTTGTGATGAGAATAAGGTCTGTGCCTAGATTCTTTTTTTTTAGCATGTGGTGTCCAGGTGTTCCAACCCCTTTGCTGAGAGACAGACTCTCTTGGCTCCAGGCTGCTCCCTTTGTCCCTTTGCTGAAAATCAGTTGCCTGTATTTCCAAGGGTCTGTCCAGGCTGTCTTCTGTTCCATGGATCTGTTTGTCTGTTCCTTCCCCTGTACCACCCTGTCCTGGCTGTGTAGCTTTATGGCAAGTCTTGAAGTCAGGCAGTCAGTCTTCCAGCTTTGTTCTCCTTCAATATCATGCTGTCTATTCTGGGTCTCTGCCTCTTCATATGAACTTTAGAATCAGCTTGTTGGTATCCACAAAATAACTTGCTAGGATTTTGATTGGGATTGCACTGATTCTGTAGATGAAGTTGGGAAGAGCTAACACCTTGATAATATTGAGGCTTCCTATCCCTTTTGCACTTTGAACACGGAACATCTCTCCATTTATTTAGTTCTCTTATTTCTTTCATCAAAATTTTGTAGTTTTCCTCATATAGAAATTGTA